TTTCCCCCTTTAGAGTGTCAACCTCACTCCTCAACTGCCCCAGCTGCCTTAACAGCGTGGCAAGGAGGTCGTCTTTCCCCACACTCCCCTCCTCTTCCCCCACGACACAACGATCCAAAGCGGCCATTTTCCTTGGTCTCTAACGGGAGCACGATCGGGCACGACCTTCTCCAAGGTGGGTCGATGATAATTAGTTTTAATTCAACAGACAGTGTCATTTAGGACTATATTTTTTCTCGAACAAGATACTACAATTTGCATGGAAATACTGTACAACATAGTGTTAAGGTATAATGTTAATTTTGTACTGCATTTTTTTTAGCAATAATAGCTTTGTGTTGCTATTGCAAATATTGAAAAACTTTAACAGGTAACTTATAATGCAAACTGTGAACTAAAAAATACCAAGCCAAAATATTCAGCTTTTCTCGGGATAGGTATAGACCGTATAACTTTGACTGTTACAGCTTCCCCTCCCTGACACAGGTAACCAACTTAACCTATCCTAACCTAGGTAAACCACCTCAAACTAACCCAACCTTGACTGTCACAATTTGCCATCCCTAAAACAGGTACCCACCTCCCACAATCGCCGTAGCGATATCTCAGTCGGGGAAGATTTTGGTTCTTGCTCGGACCACCAGGAGCCCGGGATAAATAGTAATAGTGTTATGCCGAGGCATAATTCGTATTACAATTTTGCAAACTAGGTGTTTTGATCATTTTCTATCCCAAGCAACAGTTATTTTGGCAAATTTAGTGAAATTTTCGTGAATATATCGATGATATTGATGTCTTCATTATGTAAGAATATTCTAGAATGTATTGCATCATTTTTGTTGTGATTTACTTCATATTGTAAGCCTAGATCATTCTAGAATTCTCCAGGCGGGTCTCGAGCCGACCTCCCGTGTCTGAACATCCCGAGAATGCTCCTGGCGTCTGACGAACCATATACAGTCATAAGCCTGTTGTTTGTCTGTACACTGATACCAACGTCAGGAAGTTACCGTGGACTGGTGGGACAGCCAGTGGTAATTCGACGACGCTTGTGAGATATCTTCTGCTTCTGTGCGTACGACCCTACCCGCTGGTAACCAATGGTGGAAACTGGGTAAGCGGTAAAAGGAGGAGGGTCATAACACTGATGTCAGGAGAGGGATAGCCTCGCAGTTAGATAGCAGTCAATATAGAAGGTGAAGGTGTCCAGACCAGAAGCCAGGCCAGGCAATGGGAGATTTCCATGGCTGATATGATGCAATTCATACAGAAACAACTACTAGAACAACAGAAGGAGCAACAAACAAGGTTGCATGAACAGCTACAATCACAGCGAGAAAAGCAGAAACATGAAAATGTGCAGCTGCAGGTGAAAATTCAGGAACAACTGCAGGAATCGAGAGGAAAAACGGAAGCAACAACTACAGCAGCTGCAGGAAGAGATCGACAAGAAAATTTAAATACGGTATGAGGCTCTGCAAGTGAAGTGTAGCAGATGGGATGATGAGTTTTATGAGGTGCAAGTTGAACAAAAGAGGAAGTGGGTGAAAAATTGAAACAGCTCAAACAAAAAGTGAGTGGTGAAATCACAGTGAGCTACAGAAAGTCAGTAACAGGATGGAAGCTCTGGAAAATTTTCTAACAGAAGAGTATCAGCCAAGACCTAATGACTCCTATAATTGTGATGGTGAGCGTGAAACACCGTTTGTGCACGCTCCGAGTGGAATGCATAGTGTTGAAAATTCTAGAAAATACGTTGAGCGTGTGAAAAGGGAAGTGCTGGGCTGAATTACATAGCGCCTGAGTTCAGACCCCAATCTACGTCAAGTGAACAGAGGAACTATTCAAAAGTGCCAGTAAAGAAGAAACCACAGGAATTCGACGGCAAGGCCTCATGGGAAGCATACCAGGCACAGTTTGAGTTACTAGCTGAACAAAACGGGAGGGACGACAAGCAGTGTGCAATACAATTAGCCACGAGTCTTAAGCGCGCGGTTATGGAGGTTCTCAGCCAGTTCACAGGAGAAGAGCGTAGCGTTACAGGCATGAAACCAAGCACCAAAATGAGGTTTACAGAGCCAGATTCCGTACTCGTACCGTAATCGAGGTGAAACACTGCAACAGCTGGCCCAAGACCTGGAAAGTATGGCTCATAGGGCGTACACTGGAGCATCACCTGATCTGTTAGCCGTGTTGTTGAGGGACCAGTTTGTGGACGCATTGGACGGCACGCAGCTCAAGATTCAGGTGAAGCAGTCCCAACCGGCAAGTCTACAGGAAGCTTTGGCTAGAACCCTGGAGTTTGAACCTTACGTGAGGTCAAGTTTACCAAGCTTCAGGACGGAGTCTAGATCTGGGTTTAAAACACGAAAGGACCAAGTACAAGAGATAGAGAGATTTAAATGGACCTGCTGGTATTGCGAAAAGATTGGACATAAACAAGAGGACTGTTACAAGCGGAAACGAGAGCGAGAGCGGGGCAATACCGAGAAGAACATGGAGAAGAGAACATGTTGGATGTGTGGAGAAGATGCACACTTAAAGACTAAGTGCTCACAGAATTCCAAAAGAGGGAAAGAAGAGCAGCCCACTAAAACGGGAAACTAGAGATGGCTGGTGCTGAGAGGCAACGACCAGCCTGTCTCACCAGAGCCCCACTATTTACGAAATGCAACCGAGCCACTCTAAGCAGTGTTCAGGTTGAAGGTGAGATCGATGGCGCAAGGTACCCGTTGGTGATCGGCACAGCCTCGGAGCAGACTTTTGTGAGGCCGGACGTGGTTAGTCATCTAAAACTATCCGAGACGTCGCAGCAGCTGTGCGGAATAACTGGACAAAGCGCAGTGCTAAAGGGACCAGTGGATATCAGCATCAAGCTAGCAAGGGAAGAAGAAACCCTACAGGTTTATGTAGCATATATCGAAGACCCTTGCATCCTGGATCTGGACTACCTCCTACATCGCAGGTGTCAACTGGTCCTTGGCTCGATGCAGTTGAGAATTAGAAGAAAGTGGGTACCGCTGTGGGCTGTGAAGCATGCAAGTGCTAATATTACCGTTAGGCAGACAAGAGTTATTTCCCCAAGATCGGAGGTGCGGTTGCCACGCAAGGTGAATGGTGCCTAGCATACTCGCCTAGAAGTGGTACAGCCCGATTGTCAGCAGTGTTGCAGGGGAGAGGCAGTTCCCAAAAAATGTAGTCGCACTACGGTGGAGAAAGATCCAGCCGTTGCTGGGGAAGGACTTGAGAAGCTGCAGCTGGAAGACCAAGACCTGCGACCAGTGGTCGAATGGATGAACCAGAGCTCAGTGCAGCCAGCCTGGGATACGATCTCTGGAGCAAGTCCTACTACTAAAAACTACTGGGCGCAGTGGGATGCTCTTCGGCTGAAGGATGGTCTGCTGCAGCGCCAGTGGGTGACTACCAATGGCCTCAACAGGTATTGACAGACAGTACTTCCCCGGAAGATGAGGTCAGAGATCCCGAGAGAGATGTACAACAATCTAACCAGTGGACATCTGGGAGTGAAGAAGACCCTGAGTCGCGTGCGGCAAAGGTTTTTCTGGGTTGGCATACGTAAAGATGTGGAAGAATGGTGCCGTTCATGCGATGTCTGCTGCGCCAAGAAGAGACCAAAGCTACACACTCGTGCCCCACCTCAGTTGTACCATGCAGGTGCACCAATGGAGAGGGTCGCAGTAGATATTGCAGGACCTCTGTCACTCACTGCAGATGGAAATAGGTACATCTGTGTGGTCATGGATTATTTCAATAAGTGACCAGAAGCTTATACCATCCAAATCGGGAAGCCACAACTGTTGTCAGGGTGCTGGTGGACCAGTTCTTCTGCCGTTTTGGTGTGCCCCACGAATTACCACGGAGCTGTGAAAACCTGCCTTCTCTCTGCTGCCAGTGTTGCCCTCCCCACTGGTGGTGTGAGTGACCCACACTCCAGCTGGAGAGCAGCTATAGCGTGATATTCCCGACGTGGTTTGAGCTCTTTTCCTTCTACTACTATTTTTTCCTTTTTTTTTTCGCTCTGGCCTAGGGACTTGCGTCCTCAAAAGTGTATTCGTCCTGCGGTCCCCCCTGTAACTATTCACCTCCCTCCCAGGAGATTGTGAACACGAAAGGGGATTGGGGCAAGAACCCATCCCTCTGCCGAGTCTATCCAGGAAAACCGTGACCGTGTGGGTCCACCTGGAAAGAGGGTAGCAATCCTTATCCTTACCCAATAGGCACAATCAGCTCACGTCTATAAGTGAGCAGTCACATACACTAGGAAGTAGGTTTCCCCAAACGGGGCTCCGGGAGAGACGCTCAGGAACTACTCTACGACCACCTGGCCATCAAGTGGCGGTGGGGAGTGTTGAAATCCCTCTGCTACTTACTCAACCGTAATAGGTAGGCTCTGAACAACAGAAAAACCTCTAAAGAAGAAGAAAACACCACTTAACCACCGGCAAATCAACATACTACATAATATATGGTGCAGATAAACGCTTACCTTATGGTCAACTAGCAGGAACCCCACAACATGTGTACAACATGGATGACTATGCGAAGAAGCAATTCAATATTTTAACAAGCATCCTTGGGAAAGTACGAAAAGGTTTAGTAACCTCACGAGCTGAAATGATCTGCAAGCAACATAAAAGCGCTAAGCCTATAACACTCGAAATAGGTGACGCTGTAATGATTGAAGTGCCTGAACACATATCAAAACTTTCGCCAAAAGTCATAGGTCCATATCTGATTAAAGAAAAGGAACGTGGGAATAAATTCCAAATAGTTAAGCCAACAACAAACGTCACAGACATAGTACATGTACATAGAATGAAGAAAATCAGCAGAGACTTAGAAGAAACCCCTAATGTCAATCAATTAGATCCTATTTCTACTACAACTGTTGCTCAACAAAACTCACTAATAGACCATATGTATCGTCAAAAAAAGCGATCAGCAAATAAGAAGAATTACTTATCCTTGCCCTTTTAGGCATGGTTTGTATATCACCACTCCTGTTGGAATGGAATGCTGTAGCAGCAGCCGCATCCCCAGCAGAGGTCATCAAACTGGGACTTTTAGTTGCCCCAGTGGGCAAAGTACTTATGGTAGAAGATTGCGTAAGTTTCAAGAAGCTGCTCCATGGATTACTGCACATTCCTGTGCACCTGAAGCAGCTATGAGCACCCTGCATGATCTCAAATAACCACCAAACATATCTACAGCCTTTCAACAAACCAACTCGCTACAAATTGTCTTTATGAAAAGTCTTTTCAAGAGCACCATGCACTCCAGGGGCAATATACCAACGTCTTATGCAGACATCAAGACGAAAGCGCAAGCACAGCGACATCTAAAACAGGGCATTTTCAACTTTATGTGCCTCATAAGTAACATGTTGTTTGGGACGTCCACGGCGGAAGATATTTAAAAACTGGGGAAAGTATGACTGCAGTTTCACAAGCGGTCATAAAACAAAAAAGGGCCAATGCATAATTCTTTTTTTTTTGGCACTCCCCTACATCCTTGTGTAAGGTGAAGCACAGAAGCGTTTACAGAGCTCAACAGTGAAGCATGCTAAGTTTATGCTTGCCTTTATTTCTCATGAGTTAAGGGCGTAGAAGCCTGAAGAGTCAAGGGCGTAGAAGCCTGAAGAGTCAAGGGCGTAGAAGCCTGAAGAGTCAGTGGTTTATGTCATCAAGTTATTAAAAGCTCCAACAACTCCCTGAATACGAATTCGCAACTTTCGGCTTACAACAGGTGCCTACTTTACTGCTAGGTGAACAGGGACTAATGGGGGCTAGGAAGTAAGTCCAAACAACTTCCACCAGCCCGGGAATCGAACCCGTGACATCTTGCTTGCGAGGCAAGAACGGTACCGCTTCTACCACCGGTCCGCCTCCAATGCATAATCTGATAAGGCGATACAGTCTCTGGACTGTAAGGTGAATGCTATTATTGACGAGACTAGTAAACATATACGTAATGTCTATGGCTTAAAACAGTCAGTGCCTGATCTGGAATGGCTGGTATGCTTTACAGATTATTTGCATGCAACCGAAGCATCTATTTAAGGTCTTACAGTAACATATGATATGGCCAAAGCTGACTTAGTGAATGCAGGTTTAGGTCGTGTAGACACACAACTTTTATCAATAGGCCAACTTATTGCCGCTCTAAATGTATCTGAAAGTATCATCTAACTTCTGGAGCATGAAGTATAATTCTATTACTCCTTGTTAGAAGAATCCTTAACGCATTAGGAAGTGCTAATACACAGTCTACTAAAATCAGAGAACAAATTTAATTCATGGCACTTGGAACCCTTTGCTATAAAGGCAAATGACGATCTCCTAGTCCTTAACAAACAGACGGAACTAAATTTGGTTTCAGACTTTACATTAATTGTGGTGGATAAGCATGACGTACTGGATTATTGTAAGTCATCTAACTTGCACTTGCACATCTTTCCCCTAAGCCTCCGTTTTCACATGGGTTGTAAAAGCTAACTGTGAGCTAGTCATAATACAAATTAATGCTTCTACAGCTCTGCAACAATGTGAATACACTCCAATACCTCACGGCTTAGTGATTCATGCGCATGTCAATCATGTGCAATATTTTTACTTCCCAAAGCCGACCAGTGTCTTAATCATTTGCTATCATATAGCACCAGACTATTATGAACGCAGCAGTAATGCAATCTCAACCTTGCCTACACACCATCATTTTGCATTTATGACAAATATTACTTCCGAACTGGTTCCTATCCCACTTTTGTTGAATAGCAACTTCAGTACCCTACATATTACCCCGCCCAGCTGGTTTTCCACCACAGAACACCACCGTCATGGGCCCAAGATGGATTGACGAGAAGCTAAACTGAAAGGCCAGACAGGTGTTACAGCTCGCCCGGTACGTACTGACCAGTCGACACTTGATAGGTTGGCAGCGCTAGTGGAGGCACAGCAGCTGCAGGCAAGGGAGAGTCGTGCCACCATGCAAAAGCAGCACCAAGCCGCCGAGGAAGCTTCCAGAGCAGACCGTGCCACTATGCAGGCGTTAATAGCACAGGCCTTACAGGCGCATGGTGAAAACGCTAACATTCTGCCAAACGCCATGTTGGGCAACCCTAACACCGGGATCCCAGATGCTTCTGTGCGTCCCAGGCATGGCAGCCCTATGCACCTGTACCTCACAAACTCTCCCCAGATGTTACCCTCAGGGAATTTAAGATATGGCACGGCGCTTGGTTAAATTATGAAGAGCTGCTTCAGCTGAGGAACCAGCCGCATCGGACGCAGCTGGCTCACCTCAAATCGTGCCTTACAGTGCACTCGAGATGAGATCTACCCTAGCCCAACGCTATCGAGGTATCCGAGGAAGACCACACCGGGTCATTGAAACAAATCCTTGAACTGATCAAGGTGCATCTACAGCAGCAGCTGTCACCCTAACTACCAGCAGGATAGTAAACCATATCAACATGGGTAGGTCTCGCGGCTCATCCAGCAGTTTTACCAGTCTGTCCATACACAGAACTTGTCTGACCCGTGCTCTTGCCTCTGTACTAATAATCCCGTAAATCCAACTGTTATATTACTCATCAACGCCCACCAGTTTGCATCAGAAATAACTTATGGAATCCAACCAAAATTCCTGGAGATACTCTTTGTATGATACTGAACACGAAAATGAAAATGAGAATGCACAAAATCTATTAAAACTTGACCTAACCTTACCTAACCTACGTAACCTTACCTAACCTACTTAACCTCACCTAACTTGCTAACCTGTGCATTATCGTTTCAATTTTTTTAAATTACTATCATCCAAACAACATCTTTAGAAAAAAATTAGCGAATTAAATCCAAAATAAATCGTAATAATTACGCCCGATGACATGGTCGCTCGTTTCTTGACCTGTAAACAAAGACCGCTTGCGCTCCAGCATGGCAAACAATGTGAATCAAAGCATGGCTACCACAGGAGATGCACCGGCGCCATAATTATGGCAAATATTTTATTTATTTCCCTACAAAGCAAGTAGAGACGTGAAATACTGCCATAAGGTAAGTGTTTTCAGTTTTTTTACCTCATTAATTCCATTTTCTTTCATGGCCCCTATCAAGTATTTTATGATCGAAGGACAGGCTAAGAAAAAAATATATACTACAATGTTGTCGTTTCGCTTTTGTTACTCATTATCATCCGATGAACAACTGTGGAAAATATGAACGAAACATACAAACACGTTCGGGTGCTAACCGTCTGCTCCACCTTTACCCTTCTTTTTGTTCCTCTATCTCCCTATATACAAATCAATATAGAGCTCTGTGGTAGACCTTCTCCGAATCTACACGAATTACTTTCTGAGAAAAGAACCATTCCTACAGTGTAAACCTGACACTAGTAATGGCCGTCTTCCTCCTCCCATTTCACAAGACAAAACTGATATATCGCAAAAAAATATTCCTTCTGCAATTTGTTTGTGTCTCGAGGTAAGAAAATTTTTATCCTCTATGAATAAATTTCGTCAGGTAGCTTCTACGGCTGTAACAACATCTTGAATATTACCAAAAATAGTAAAAATACTCACTGGTGGTCTTGCTGGTGGCGTCATCCCGAGGTCACTAATTATTACGTAACCGAGATCACGATTTTTCACTTTACTAATATCACTAATTTTCACTTAACCATGGTCACAAATTTTTACTAAACTGAGATCACTAATTTTGGTTTAAATTCGGAAAAGGTCAACCATGGAACTCTATACTGATTTGTATATAGGGAGATAGGGTACAAAATATAAGAATACTTTACTCCATAACTTTTTCATCGGGCATTTATATTTTTCGAGTTTTACTGACTTCGATTCGAGGTTTGGTTCTTCAGGTTCCTTTGTTTTTTCTTTTGTCTTTATGGGTTAGGTTAGGTTTACACACAGGGGCTACAGAGGGATAGAGTCCCTCTTGGCTCGGAGGTTAGGTCAGGTCCTTCTGGTTGCTTTGGTTAGGATAGGTTAGACATGTGTATTAATTTTTAAGAGTCATTAGGTTAGGTTCTTGATGATCTTGCTTGGCAAAATTTTCTTTCCTCCACCACTTGTAGGATGTTCTTGATAACCTGAAGAACTTTTCTTCCGGTAAAAGGTCTCCAAACACCTCTCCTTACCCCGCACCTGTTCTTAAATATTACACTTTCTGTAGTAGTTAGGTTTCGCTAGGTTTGGTTTCGTCAGATTTTTGCGTGGTGTTTCTCCAAGGCCTCGCCCTGCACTTTTTAAAGTAAAATTGAAAAGTAAAAAAAAAAAAATCAATTTCCGAAAAAAAACGACAAAGTAATTATTTAGAATATTTACTCTATTTCCATATATTTAAATCAATACAGAGTTCTGTGATTGACCTTTAACGAATGTTTAAGCTAATTTTCACTTAACCGAGATCACCAATTATCACATAAGCGATATCAATAATTATCACTTACACGAGATCATTTACTATCACTAAAATGGGATCACTTATTTTCACTTAAGCGAGATCACTAATTATGACCTAGGCAAGATCACAAATTATCACTCAAGCGATATCGCTAATTATTACTTAAGCGAGATCTTTAATTATCACTTACCGAGATCAATTTTCACTTTAGTTATCACTTAAGTCGCATAAACATTCCGTCAGGTATCTCAAAACAATATCACTGAAGATGTGATTGATAATAATGATATTTCTACCAATAAATTCTTAAATACGTTTGAGAAAAATTTGTTTACATTACACCTGTTGATTTTGGCATTACACTTTAATCTTTCTCACATTTCCACACCACAGCTTTTATCTAAGATGATTGTAGCGTCATCATTCAGGAAATGGTTTACAAGCAGATGCGGAAATCAGTTCCTAGTAGTAAGTTATGTGGAAGACAGTAAATGGTGTCGTCTGGCCGGCTCTGGTTGGTAACTGAAGGACGGTCAAGTTGTTCAACAGTCAACACTCCGAGAACATTCGTTGTATTGCTAAATTCTACAATTGTTTGTTTATTTCATCACCACAAGTTAGTATTCCGTTATTGTATATGAATAATATTAACAAAATAAATATAAATAGATGGGTGAAATAAATCTATTAGGTGTCATAATTATGTCTACGTAGTAATAAATATGGAATAGCTTATAGGAAAATTATGGGTACAAATTTTACATGTTTAGAAAGCCAGATTTAGCAGTTCATAAAATATATTTTTTACGATCTAGTGAAACATAAATGATTAAATTTATACATATAATAGTACTATTAATACTAGAACTAATACTGATATTAATATTATGACAACTATAGGAAACTTTTCGTGCTTATGAGGCAGTATGGCGACCAGAGACACTTGTTAAACCTGACATAAGATTAGGTTTTGAATAAATTATTTTAGGCGTATATATGATAGCTGTTAAGTCTACATAGGCAAACGCTGCTAATTCAAAGGGCGCAACGGGCCATTGTCATTATCATTTTATTATTATTATTACTTTTTTTTAGGAACACATCACCTTAAAGAGCAAAAAGTTATTTATTTTTTTGTTTCGTGATCAACGACAGCTATAACGCTAGGTGTAAATTTGTGGAAATATATAACATGCCTGTATCATAGCTGGAATTTTGGTTTGTCTCTCCCTGTAATTATTTATTATTTGATTAATTTATTACACCCAGGGGGCGACAAGCCTAGTCACAATTAAGACCATGCGGTCTAGCACTAACAGCGCTCGTGTTTCGTATGACACTATTACTTATGATACAGAGATAGGGATGTGAGTTGAGGATAATGGGAGTTAGCACCCACCAAAGCAGGGGGTATGTATGAGATTTAATGTAAATTATTATGTAGGTGGTTGTCACGGGAAACAAGCACACAGGGGGTGGAGACATCAAACACGTAAAAAAAAACGTGTGTATCTACAATATTTACAATCTTAATATTTTCCTCGTGATTTCTTCCACACAATCCAGGATCTTTGGTCTTCACTCTCGACAATGCCCATTCCAGGGTCTCTTGTTGGGGCAACCCTTCAGTCCTTTACCTTGACTTGTCGGCTCTCGACACCCCTCCCCACAGCGTCAACACACCAGGTTGAATCAAGCCAGCGCCATTGATGATCGACGACGAAGAGATTGTGTTCTCTAAACAAGGCAGGTTGCTTGGCCTCACCATCTTTCGGACGTGAAGGACAGACCAAAGATAGCCAAAGTTGCCGCCTCCAAATTAAAACGTTTTAAACTGATGCCTGAGAAGATACAAGTCCACCTGTACAAGGCGCTGGTGAGGCTTGTGCTGGAGTACCCGATTCCATGACAAAAACCCAGTGGACAAAATCCCAGCGGACAAAATCCCAGCGGACAAAATCCCAGTCTCATATAAGATTAATTAATAAGATTAGGTGTAAAGACCATTCGCCTGTTATCATATTAATAATATGATATTATATTATATTGTATTAAGGTATCGTATACAATTTTTGTGGCAAAATAAAAAAAAAAAAAACACGACAAAATAATAACACCTATGATTGTTGTTCCATAACATTTATATATTGAATATTGTTTATTGTATTAATTTGCTTTAAATTTGTTTTTAAAAGTTTGTTTCTTTTTATATATATGAGACATTTATGAAACTGAATTTTATTTTATTTATTTTATTTTATTTATGAGACTCGAATTTTGAATGTTAAATTTGTTTTTTTTAAATATCAGACTTTTATTTATAGGACTGGGATTTTGTCCACTTTTGGGATAAGAGGCTGGGATTTTGTCCTGTAACCGGAGTACCCACACGTCCCACTCGTCACGCTCGGGAAGACCAGACTACATCAACTACAGAGCTTCCAAAACAAGTGTCTGAGGTCAGCCAGTGGCCAAGCGCCACCCTTCCAGGAGACAGTGGAAACCATCCACTTGAGAAATAAAACAGAGGCCCTCAAAAGCAGGTTCCATCGCCTAGGGAAGAAGGTTTGGGAAAAGCTGGACGACCCTCACAGCCTAGACCACCTACGCGTGGAAGACATAAACGGAGGGCGACCCCACGCCTGGTGGCCACGGAGTCTGCCCTCACTGCAATAACCCAACCCGCGACTCATCTATGTCCGCCACAACGATCCACCTTAGATTAAAACTCAGGTGATATAAGATCACATTTAACAAATCATAAACTAGTGAGTCCACAATGTAATACAGTAATAAAATTTTAATAAACATGTAATTGTAAAATCAAACTACCGTAGTCATTGTCTACCAAATTAGCCATTATGCAACCTCATCCTAAATCCTAAGTTAGCTTAGTTAGCCAACAAACTCTGTAATATGTAAATCAAGGGGTGTCGTCCCCCTCCGTTTAACTTATTAAATTTATTTTCCAACCTCCCCCCCCCCACCCCACGACTTTCTGTCATGACTTCTACCCTTCATGTCTGGCTGTGCATTGAGCCCCAGCATGCCTTTTATCCTTTCCCTATCTTAACCTAAAAAAAGAAAATAAAACCTATCTTTGATTTCCGCGCGTCGTCTGGAGATGTAGACGAAGCGAGAAGTAACAGCAGACAACTTGTCCTCAGCAAGGTCCCGGTCGAAGAGGAGTTTGATGGAGTCAGCTAGGGGGGCTGGAGGTAAAGGAGCGGACCGAGAAGCGGCCAAAGAGGAAGTGGCCCTAGAGATGGGATGCCCGCGGGCTGGAAGCTGCACTTGGTCGGGTGGGTTACATGCTCCCAGTCCAGCGGTTTCCCGCGTTGTGTGCAAGAGGGTTGATACGAGGGACCCAAGTGCTAAGAAACAAGTCTCTGTATTCTTGGGGATTTGGAGGCAGGAGACGGAGATTCTCTGTTGCTGTCTGAAGTGGACTCCAAGGGCGTTTGGTCGCGGTAGAAGTCTGGTGGCTAAGTAAAACAGGAGGTGGCCAAACTTCCCCAGAGGGCATATCCTCTTCGCTTAGCGGTTGGTTGGCCTCCAGGTCGGTCCGGAGTAATCCATAACGCCCTTGGACACCATGACGGGCAGTGCACAGAGCGGTGGCGACAACGTCACCACAGCGTCGCTGCCTCGTCACACAGAGTGATGGAGAAGGGTAAAGGGAGGTGTTGGGGGTGGTTGGGTAGTTTGACAAATACGACACTATCACGTCACACTTTTCGTACTGTGCATGCGCAGGAGCGAAAACAACCGACCAGAGTATCCAGGCAGAAAGTCCAGATATTGTATCCAAAATACCGTCTACACAGAAACTTGAAATTTCACAAGTGACACTGTACTGATAACTGGGTCTTACTGTAGTTCACTGCACAGACTGGAGGTAGTCGACTCACTAGATTCGTCAAAATTGGGTATTGTAGGGAGTGCTCACTCACAGCCTTTGTTGACATGTCACGGTGCGCACGTCGACTTTTACCCTGTCATATAGACTGTTGCTAGTTTGGTGAGCAATTTTAGTTTCATTTTGCTCAATGTTTGCTTAATGCGATGGATAAAGTCTTTATTTTTGTGGAAACGCTAAACGCGTGTTTTTTTTTGTTTTTTTTTATTACGACAGTTTTCTTTTGAAAGGCAACAAATATTGAAGAAACTGAAACTAAAATTTTTGCCAATTGTTACCTGAAAATGTAAATGGGGGAGCCCCCCAAACCCCCTAATTTCTAACCTAACCTAGAAAATCCTAACCTAAACTAACCTTGACTAACCTTTGTTTGTAGGATGAGAAGGACCAAGTGATTTCCTTGAGGAAGTGGTGCAGGCCATACCGTACCACACGCTTGTTTCTCGGGTTTGTCTTTTGGGGGGTCATGACAGAAACTTGCTCTATCTTTCCTCAGTTTGCAATAATTCAAGGACTTCTCGCAGTTTCTTTCAGTGAGTATGACCCCGTGCTTTTGAAAAAAATCCAGGTATTGTTGCAAAAGTCATTTGGTATTTATTTTTTTAGAATATTATGGTTACAATCAATAGTTTAGAGAATTGTAAGACACTTTTCTTCTATGACGTTTCCTTCGTAAACAACTTATATATTCCGCGGAGTCCAGGGGGGTGAGAGAAACGTCAAAGTAGAAAAGTGTCTAAGAATTGTCTAAACTATTGACTGCAAACATAAAATTCTCAAAATTTAATCCCGGGTTACATGGAAATTTACCAAAATACACAGCACGGTCGTCAGAGCTACTGAAGTGTTCTATAGTTGATTAAGAGTTAAATTCACATCAGTCACACGTCATGACTTCTGTCTGTGATCGTGGAATTGACTCGACCGGCCAAGGGAATGGCAAATTCTCTCAAATTTGAAAATTTCGATTTACTTCAATGTCATTGGCTGGCCGAGTTACGTGTTGTCACTCAGTGAAGTCACAGAGTGGGCTGGTGCGGAGAAAGATCAAGACAAAGACTAATCACACCAAGTCAACCCACACACAGGTGACAGAGCTAATTATGTGACGTTATTAGCCGCAATCGAAGAAAACGGTGGTAAGGGACTCGTATATTATATTATTCACGGGTGAGACCACCCCACTGTATTAGAAGATATTCTTGCCATATTTCCTGATCTTTTCATTCCCTATCACACACTGTTTCAGATCGCAACTTGAACTTCTCATGTTATCATAATTTTTATGATATTCCTATTCTTATTATTAAAAAATTATTATAAATATAATTATTAATCCTCTTCTTCTTCTCTTTATTATTATTTATACTCTTATTATTTTTCTGCCAGTATCAGTGTAAAAGCCATTAAGTAATCATAGGCATATTGGCTAGCGATCTACTGTGGAGGTTTTCAATTTATCAATTTGGCCACTAGATATATTACAGATGACTAGGCGATACAACAGTTTCAAGCAACAAATAAGTACTAATCTCTACACATCCGGTTTCCTAGCTGAATGGTACAATTTAGGGAATTTAAATTTAAATCTGCCAATAGCTCCCAAGTATTGCCCTTCCTCCTGTTGCACCCTAAATATTTGCTGCATGCACAATAAAATCCACTTTTTTCTCTGCTTTTCATTCTTTGGAAATCGACGAAATATCAAACTTTCATCAAGTAGTCTGTAATTTGATATGCATCCAGATACAGCGCGTTTATCAGTCATTGTCACACCACGACAACCAGCTGGTAACTGAGGACCACCCCCCCTCCCAACGGCCCGCCGACTAAATAACATCATGCACAGCAAAGGACGAATTTTCGACTCTAAGTGGGTTGACTTGGTTTAATTAGACGCTGGATCGAGAGTTCAGAGAGGCTGGGACGATACTAACTTCAGTCGATAATTTTCCTCACTGACAAAAACTTCTCAACTCGGAAGTTGAAACACACATTCTTTGTCAGCGTTTCCACAAAAAAAAGACTTTAACCATTGCATTAAGTATCAAATATCAAACAAAATGAGACCAAAATTGTCCACTAGACTATCAGCATTCAAAATCAAAATATATATATATATATATATATATATATATATATATATATATATATATATATATATATATATATATATATATATATATATATATATATATATATATATATATATATATATATATATATATATATATATATATATACTGTATGTGTGTGTGTGTGCCTGTGTGTGCACAAAATCGCTCAGACCTGTAGTACAAAATGGGAATACCACCCTTATATACGGTAAAACATTCTAAGCATAACTTGTGTTTTAGTCAATGTATTTATAAAATTACATACTACGTTGCACCTGCAAAAGTAACTCCTTAAACCTCCTCCATCCCTCCAGCCCCGAACACCCTACTCAACCCTTATAACCGGCCACCAGGTTACACACCGACTGAGGTTCACACCTCACAAAAAGGGTGGATTGGCAAAGTTGAGTGTACCAGTCTCAATGTGGTCAGACCGTGATGTATGTGGTACTGGTAATGTGGTCAGACTGGTGATGTATGTGGTCAGACACCAGGTCACACACCGACTGAGGTTCACACCTCACAAAAAGGGTGGATTGGCAAAGTTGAGTGTACCAGTCGAAAAAGTCCCAACTGTATGTGGTCAGACTGGTGATGTATGTGGTCAGACTGGTGATGTACGTGGTCAGACTGGTGAAGTATGTGGTCAGACTGGTGATGTATGTGGTCAGACTGGTGATGTATGTGGTCAGACTGGTGATGTATGTGGTCAGACTGGTGATGTATGTGGTCAGACTGGTGATGTATGTGGTCAGACTGGTGATGTACGTGGTCAGACTGGTAATGTATGGTCACACTGGTGATGTATGTGGTCAGACTGGTGAAGTATGTGGTCAGACTGGTGATGTATGTGGTCACACACAGACTGGTGATGTATGTGGTCAGACTCGTGATGTATGTGGTCAGACTGGTGATGTATGTGGTCACACTGGTGATGTACGTGGTCAGACTGGTGAAGTATGTGGTCAGACTGGTGATGTATGTGGTCACACTGGTGATGTATGTGGTCAGACTGGTGATGTATGTGGTCAGACTGGTGATGTATGTGGTCAGACTGGTGATATATGTGGTCAGGCTGGTATGTATCTGGTCAGACTGGTGATGTACTGGTAATGTATGTGGTCAGACTGGTGATGTATGTGGTCAGACTGGTGATGGTCAGACTGGTGATGTGCGTGGTCAGGCTGGTATGTGTGGTCAGACTGGTGATGTATGTGGTCAGGCTGGTAATGTAGTCAGACTGGTGATGTATGTGGTCAGACTGGTGATGTATGTGGTCAGACTGGTGATGTGTGTGGTCAGACTGGTAATGTGGTCAGACTGGTGATGTATGTGGTCAGGCTGGTGATGTATGTGGTCAGACTGGTGATGTATGTGGTCAGACTGGTGATGTATGTGGTCAGACTGGTGATGTATGTGGTCAGACTGGTAATGTATGTGGTCAGACTGGTGATGTATGTGGTCAGACTGGTAATGTATGTGGTCAGACTGGTAATGTATGTGGTCAGACTGGTAATGTATGTGGTCAGACTGGTAAAAGTCCTGGTCAGACAGTCATGTGTGGTCAGGCTGGTAATGTATGTGGTCAGACTGGTGATGTATGTGGTCAGACTGGTGATGTATGTGGTCAGATTGGTAATGTATGTGGTCAGACCAGTGATGTATGTGGTCAGACTGGTGATGTATGTGGTCAGACTGGTGATGTATGTGGTCAGACTGGTGATGTATGTGGTCAGACTGGTAATATATGTGGTCAGACTGGTAATGTATGTGGTCAGACTGGTAATGTATGTGGTCAGACTGGTAATGTATGTGGTCAGTCAGTTATGTATGTCGTCAGACTGGTGATGTATGTGGTAAGACTGGAGATGTATGTGGTCAGACTGGTGATGTATGTGGTCAGACTGGTGATGTATGTGGTCAGACTGGTGATGTATGTGGTCAGACTGGTAATGTATGTGGTCAGACCAGTGATGTATGTGGTCAGACTGGTGAAGTATGTGGTCAGACTGGTGATGTATGTGATCAGACTGGTAATGTATGTGGTCAGACCAGTGATATATGTGGTCTGACTGGTAATGTATGTGGTCAGACTGGTGATGTATGTGGTCAGACTGGTGATGTATGTGGTCAGACTGGTGATGTATATGGTCAGACTGGTAATGTATGTGGTCAGACTGGTGATGTATGTGATCAGACTGGTGATGTATGTGGTCAGACTGGTGATGTATGTGGTCAGACTGGTAATGTATGTGGTCAGACTGGTGATGTTTGTGGTCAGACAGGGGCGCACCCAGAAATTGAGTAGGGGGGGGGTTCCAAATTACTGAGAGGAAATAATCTGAGGTTGAAATGGTCAGACCGACCCCACCCTGGGTCTCGTGCTCGCAATTTTACCTGGCAATACTTGGTAAACGAAGGCTGTATGTATAGGTGATTGTGATTGGTGGATCTGTTTTTGGCTGTATCACTGTCAGGATAAATATTAAACAAACCAAATGTATAAATTTGATAATAATTAACTATTCATTGTTATTTAAGGTCATGAGAAGTTTCCAAATGTTCGTATATTTGCTTAGATAATGAAGGAAATTTGATGTGAGAATCTTGTAGCAGATGTGGTTGTAGTTGAGTTGCTAATTCATTTATATGATTTCCTTCATTATTTAAGCAAATAAACGAACATTTGGAAACTTCTTATGACCTTAAATAACAATGAATAGAGATGAATAGAAATAACAAAGTAACCATTGATTAATTAAATTAACACACAAAAATAATGGGAGGGAGGAGGAGCCCAAGAAGATCGGGCCACTCTTCAACTGCACTGGATAAACACTATACTTGAATACTAATCGAAGCAAACAAATGACACAAACCTGCCCATAGTTAGGGTTAGGTTAAGTTTAGTTAGGTTAGGTTAGGTTAGGAAAGACTAATACACTTTCTTCCTTGATCCCTAGATGACAGTGGAGTTTTAACATGCTAAATAGATACCTAAGATATATTAAGACTCATAATATCTAACTGTTATTCTTCGTAATTAATTAGGAAAATGAAAACTAATAACTCTGTCGTGACCCCAGATGAGAGGAGAACTTTTCATCCAACTTAACAAAAGGAAATATAATAAACAATGAAAGCAAAAGATGAGTTTTACCAGTATTTAATAACTTGATCGCCATAAATTTCAGATATTTCACTATGATTTTTGTAGCACAGTTAAAAAATATCCTTTTGACTAGGTGGTGAGAATAATGGCTACTCTAAATATAGCCCATGGGTAAATATTGTACTGAAAATTTACATTATAATGAAAGCTTGTATATATAATTTTACCGTCATAAAAGGGAAACAGAGGAACAAGAGTTTGAAAAATATATTATAAATGCTAATAATACGTCTAGTGGTTTATTGTTTAAAAAGGGCTGATCATTGTATTCCAGTTTCTTTAGTCCTATTTCTTTACAGTTCATTTTCTTTCCAGTCTATTTTCTTTACAGTTCATTTACTTTACGGTTCATTTATTTTATGGTTTGAAACTTTTTCATTGCACTCTATCGTCAGTGAGGCTGGAAAGGGAAAACCAAGTTGATAATATTGACGTCATGTTCAGAAAGTTACCAAATTGTTACAGCAAATATTTTAGTTACTATAAACTAAAATTTTGAGATCATCTGAAGATTATTTTACCTGATGATTAAAGACCCTAATGGTACCTGCGGAAGGGGGATTAGGATAGGGTAGGTTAGGTTTGGCTAGGTTAGGTTAGGTTAGGTTAGGTTATATTAGGTTAGGTTATAGTTGATAAGGTTAGATTAGATTATACTAGGTTACGTTAGAGTAAGTAAAGTTAGGTTGGATTAGATTAGATTAGGTTATATGAGGTTTATTTTGGTTTGGTTAACTTAAGTAACGTTAGGTTAGGTTAGGTTAGGTTAGCATTCGGAAGTTTAATCACCACGTAAAGGAAGCTAGGGTGCCTGATCTTCATGTAGTCGTTATTTTCCTACTCATTGTTTACAGGTAAGTGGATACTAATTAATACTGGCGATGCATTATGTGACCCAGTGACAAATGCACTAAAAAACATCCTCTAGAATTCAACAATGCCAAGAGCTTTATCCCAGTGTCTGATTAAGTAAATGTTTATTGTAACTTATTTGATGATTGGTGTTCACGTAAGTCGGATTAGCTAGTTTTATGTTTTATATTTTGTCACCTATGAAATCCTCTTTTGTTTTTCATGAAGTGTTCTGATAGATTTATGCACATGTTAACAATATGACTTCTTTAATATTCGAATACTGTTTTTTGTATGTCTTCGTATGTATGAAATGTATTTATGTATGTATGTATGTATATATATATACGTATGTATGTATGTATGTATATGAGGAAAAAGGCATAGAATGGGAAAGAGAGAGAGAGGGAGAGAGAGAGTGAGCACTATCTTTATGGTGATCTTAGGGGCCACAGTGGTAAAGGGGCAACAGTGACACACTTTGCACCAACTTCACAGGAGTCTGGACCCTCATTCGAGCTCCCTCATTGCTGACGCCTCTAATTGTATTTTCCACCCATTATCTTGCCTTCCCTTTCTCTTCCTTCTTCCTTCCTTCCATTCCTCTCTCATTTCCCCCTTTCTTTCCTTCATCCATTTCTCACTTCCTCCCTACCTCCTTCCTCCGTCCATTCCCCCATTCCCCTCTCTGCTCCTCCCTCCCTCCCTCCTACTTTCTTCTCTCCTTCCAAACCCTTGCAGAGTCGTAGACTTATTCTGCCTACCCCCCACTCCCTTCCCTTCTTCTATCCATCCCTCCTTTCCCTTCCTATTTTCTCCCCTTCCTCTTTCTTTCCTTCCCTTCTTTCCTCCCTCCCTCCATCCCTTCCACTCAAACTCTCACACACACACACACACACACACACGCGCGCGCGCGCGCGCGTACAAAATTCTGATTTTCTCTCTCTCGCCTTGCAAAAAGAAACAAAAACATCCTCACAAGAGTTAAATACATATCAGTTAAGTTACAAGAGGCGGCTGGTTGGATTGACTGAGGTAGTAATTGGTCTAGTGTAATGTAATTACTATAGCAACATCATTAGCTCTTCGTGAACAGCCTAATTACATTACAGTATTATTTTGATTATTACCCGTTTACTCTCGTTCTCTTTTGTTTATGCTATTTATCCTTGATGTAAATTGTTTGTTTAACAACTATGAAACTGAAGGTCTTTATTATTATTATTATTATTATTATTATTATTATTATTATTATTATTATTATTATTATTATTATTATTATTATTATTATTATTATTATTATTATTATTATTATTATTATTATTTATTATTTTTATGATAATTATTATTATTATTATTATTATTATTATTATTATTATTATTATTTTTATTATTATCATTATTATTATTATTAATATTATTATTATTATTATTATTATTATTATTATTATTATTATTATTATTATTATTATTATTATTATTATTATTATTATTATTATTATTATTATTATTATTATTACTATTATTATTATTATTATTATTTTATTATTATTTTTATTATTATTATTATTATTATTATTATTATTATTATTATTATTATTATTATTATTATTATTATTATTATTATTATTATTTTTATTATTATTATTATTATTATTATTATTATTATTATTATTATTACTATTATTATTATTATTATTATTATTATTATTATTATTATTATTATTATTATTATTATTATTATTATTATTATTATTATTATTATTATTATTATTATTATTATTATTATTATTATTATTATTATTATTATTATTATTATTATTATTATTATTATTATTATTATTATTATGTATTCTGTGTTTGTTTTTATGTGTAATGTAATCCTTAATATTCATTGTTTTTTTCCCCGCTTGATCACGCTGGCATTATTTTTTTTTGCGTTTTTGATTCACAGGAAAAAATTAAAATATTGAAATGAGTTTTACATTGATGAAAACATTTTAAATTCTAGTGTGATTTTTTACCTGTCAGTGCTTCATTACTCTTGAGGTCATAACAATAGTGATTTTTGTTATTGTATATATTAGTGTGGAAAATACTGTAAAAATTATGTTTATAGTGAAAATAATTATTATTTAGTCTAAGGTGTTTTTAAATTGGTTTAGTTTATTTATGGTTTACTATTACTGTAATATTTATCTTTATAATACCTTTCTCGATACTTTATGAGGAGTGAACTCTATTTATCATATCCGCTCTAACATTTTTTTGTCATACACATAGAGAAAAGAAAATTATCTTTGTTGCGGGGATGGTTTCATATCCAGTCCACTTATATTCTAATATATTTAGTCCCTAGCAGGCAAAACGACGGAATTTGGTTGGCTAATGCAGTGGTTCCCAATTAGTTTTAGCCACTAACCGAAAACAATTCTGACAACGATACTCAATGCCCCGACATAGGTTTGTCAACTGTTTATTTTCATACTATTTTTGGTCAGGGTCACTTTCTTCATCATCATGATTTACATTTTTGGAAATAAACCTTGCTATTTAGTTTTCTTTTCTTTATTGTTAACTGAGTATTATACAGTAATTACAATACTGACTATAAAATACAAGTCATTGAACTGACAAGAACTTTCACTAATGAGCAAACTGGCCCCTTTGGTTGGTGACCATTACTTGAATGCGTCCAGTCTGTTTCTATCTATACTAGAGATGCTCAAAAGGGCCGAAAATCCTGCCTCAAAGAAATATGTTGACCCAAAAGGTAGGAGAATTTTTATTGTGCATGAACTAGCCAATGGAAATTCCTTGCGATGAATTGTCCAGAAAGACGACAAATTCTTTGAGTCAAATTCCATTTGGATTAGGTTACTTGACTAGAGTGACTAGACCTGTCGTGTTCAGTACGCGAAGCAGATGCAGTTCCGTCGTGGGAGAATGTGTCTGACACATGAATGACCAGCGGTTGTGTATGGAATCAAGAAGCAGGGAAAATGTGGCTATGGGCCAAATGCAAGAACAGCCGTCGTGTGCACAATGCTTTAGTATCCCGATGGGCGTTATGCAAGAATCACTCAGCAATTTTCGTGGTGGTCTCACCCCCTCCCGATGCATACTACGATGGAACTGTTATGCCGAGGCACAATTTCGTATTATAATTTTGTAAAATAGGTGTTTTGATTGTTTTGTCCCATGCAGAAGTTATTTAGGCAAATTTAGTGAAATTTTCGTGTATATATTGGTGATTTTGATGTATTAATTATGTAAGAATAATC